AAGACCTACCATCGCATTCGACAACGCTACTTTTGGCGCGGCATGTACCGCTATGTGCAGCAGTTCGTTCGCTCTTGCCTCACTTGCCAACGCCGTAAACCGTCAGTCCACATGTCGCACGCCGGTCTGCAACCGTTACCTTGCCCTGACCGTCCCTTTGGGCGCGTAGGTATCGATTTGTACGGACCACTTCCTCTGACGTCGGCTGGTAACCGCTGGGCCATCGTTGCCGTTGATCATTTAACGCGATACGCCGAAACCGCCGCTCTCCCTGCGGCTACTGCGCGCGATGTTGCGTCCTTCCTGCTGCATCGATTTATACTGCGCCACGGACCACCCCAAGAGCTTCTCAGCGATCGAGGCCGTGTCTTCTTGTCGGAAGTCGTCGAAGCCATTCTGACGGAGTAGCCATTCTGTCCACCGCAAAACTACTGCTTACCACCCACAGACGAATGGCCTCACCGAACGCTTTAACCGCACCCTCGGCGACATGCTTTCTATGTACGTCGCTGCCAACCACACTAATTGGGATAATATACTGCCCTTCGTCACCTACGCCTACAACACCGCCCCTCAGAGCACGACTGGTTTTTCACCTTTCTACTTGCTGTACGGAAGGCACCCGTCGCACACCATGGACACGATACTCCCGTACACGCCGGATCCATCTGAGTGTACACCGATTTACCGAGACAGCCAGGCTTGCTCAAGAGTGTCGCGAGCTTGCCAAGACTTTTACAATGCAAGAGCAAGAGCGGCAGAAGAGTATTCGTGATGGCTCCACCACTTCTGAGCCCACGTTCCTCCCTGGTGCGCTTGTATGGCTCTCGATCCTGACATCTGCAGCTGGCCCCTCTTCCAAGCTACGTCCAAAATACGAAGGCCCCTACCGTGTCATCGAGCGCACCTCACCCGTCAACTATCTCATCGAACCCGTTGAACAATCTTCGGACATGCGCCGCCGTGGGCGAGACATCGTCAACGTGGAGCGCCTGAAGGCTTATTATGACCCGCTCATAGTAACGAGCTGTTAGGTCGCCAGGCGGCTCCCTCTTCGACCCCGGGGTAATTGTAGCGAAGCCTCCGAACGCTGAAATGGGTCGAACTCTTGAGTACCTTCTAGTGGGGCTACCCAACAAGGACGCCGCTCGCGCTGGGAGCCCGTGCTTGGCTGTGACTGTCGCCATTACATATTCTCGCTCGTTGCCGGCTAGTAAACGCCTTAATAATATATATATATATATATATATATATATATATATATATATATATATATATATATATATATATATAGCCGCTTACGTTTGGGTGTTCTCGTGGTCCCCTCATCTACTTGGCATGAACCAAACCTAGCATGGGAGGATGAGATTGTTTGACGAATACGACGTGCTTGTCAAAACATGAATAATGTCACAGTTCCATCGCGTACGTCACCAAACACTTCACGCCAGACAGCATCACATACCCACGGACGGGTATGCGCCACTGGTATGCGGATATGTGCCACAGGTGATTGACACTTGGTATCTTCCCAGGAACGACGAGAATACACATGGGCAATTTTAACGCGCGACTGCTAAGAAATACCCGACATTGGTAGCGTCGACCCGACGAGTCCCAGCTGGAATCGAACCCAAGTATTCTGGGTGCCAATGAGGCATTTTACCACAGAGCTATGCCAGGTCTCGGAACTACTTTTCAAATAGACGCTAATCATCGTGAAACGTTAATAGTGATTTCAGTGCAGCCTACGCAATTTTATAAACATTACATATGTACTATTTTGATACAGCCTTCACGTCTGGTTAACGTCAGATGTGGTTAGTTGCCGTGCGCTGATATGTATCGGTGTCCAGGTCCAGCATCTTCGCGGGCGTCAGTGCTTCATATCAGCATCTGTTGTTGCTAATACGCACCTGTTTCTTGTTGTTTTCTTAGTCTTTTGTTTCTTACGATCCATCGCTTAAGAATCTACTCGCACTGCTTACCAATAATTTCGTAAAGAGAAAAATCGATTGCTAAAGCTATAACACATATAACACACAATCACGCTTAAAAGAAATGCCACGTGTTTGCATAATGTAAAGTTTTTTTTTCTTCTTCAGAATGAGAGCAATGGGACTCCACCAGTGCCCAAAAACAAATCGAATGCAACAATGAGCATTAATCAAATAGCTCGCAAATATTTTATACCCATTATACAGTGAAGCATATACTATACGTTCTTTCTTGTGGTATCCACAATATAAAAACGTTGCTTCCAGTTATGCGAAAACGGTATTAAACATAGTTCATCATAGGAAAAGAGACTGCATTGGTATCAAATAAACATTCCGTTCAAAAGGTTGGGCTTATTCACAAAATAGTAATTTACACTATATCATATACCTTACAAACCACTAACGCCGACTATGAAGCAGCGATGTGAATATTGGCGCAAACAAATTATAAATGGTTCTTTTACAATATATTTGGCAGAAGCATATTTCTGTATGTGGTTTGACCAAGCGCCGTGATGTAGAAACGAAGTGGCACAAAAAGCGCTCATATTCAAGATACATTAAACTCTTGTGTTTGACGTGCCAGGAAAGAAATAAAAAAGGGGTAGAAGGCAGAGAGGTTAATCATAGGCATGTCTGCTTGGCTATTCTACCTTGAGGGATTAGGGAGAGGAGTAATAGAAAGATCAAAGAACAGAGAGAGGAGCTAGTCAAATGAATAAATAAATAGGCAATAACTGCGTGCCTCGCAGTCCTCTGCAAATACAACACCACGATATAATCGTGAGACGCATTGAGTGGACGCATGTAAACACTTACCAGCACTTCGCCCTCAAGAACCTAACAAACTGCACCCCGTTTCTGACCAGTGTCCTTCCTTCGCAGCTATACAGTTGCTGCGCAGTGAAAAGCGTCGCTTATAAACACGCGCACTCATGATTGATTGTGAAACGTATATTAGCGAAAATGAGAATGAGAAAAACATAATTAGACATCTATACAGGCACTCTTTACCTACAGGTACACTTGACCAAAGTACTTTCAAAATCATATATTTGTGGTTCATCCCATTAATTTATTGCCACTGGCATATGCCATCAAGTTCTTCGATATAATTTATAGTTTCCGCCTAGATCGCATTTGCGGCTGCTGTCAACCTTATTGCAGTAAACTGGTTTCACAATACAGATAAGCACACTCACAACTCATAAAAATATGGATTATGAACTTTTGTTTTCGTATTGTTCGAACCAAATCACGTGAGTGTGAATCTGCCGTCTGCTTTGAACACCAGTTCACCCTGGTTATCAAAAGCAGGCTATCCTATGAGTGTTCAAGCTTTTTTTGCTAAAGCTTTGCTCACAAAGCTTCCCGGTCGCCACCAACTCAGCCGACCTCAAAAAATAATTTAAAAAAACTGTCCGTCATTCCATACTTCCACAAGGTATCACACAGCTTAAAAAAAGTGGCAGAATAACCCAAAGTAAAAGGAGCTTTTTTCAGCTCCTCAGTAATGAAGTTGCAAGCCTGCTACTTTGCAAGGGGAGCGATACGAAGCATGGCACGTGTGTTAAAGGCCACAAAACTTAAATTCCTTGCAGAAGTTACGTCGTTAGTGAAGTCTCCTTCCTTAGGGGCAAGATATATTTAGAACAGACGATAATGTACCTCCATGCTTACAGTACTCAACAGCGATGCGATAAATGAGCGTGACGGATGGCTTGCGATACACTGTAAGACATATGGCTGTCAACCTGTTTTCAGTACATGTCCTGCTGTTTTCATCCATCAATGATCAATTTACAAGGGTAATCACTGAAGCTGAAAACATTGTTAGACTGTATACCTTGCTAATCAAAGAAGCCCCACTGTTCCTCACTGACATGCAAAAATTTTGTGACACGGAGAGTGTCAAGAAAAGAACGCATGCCGCTCAAATCCTCTTCAAGATTGTGTTGGAAATTCTAAGAACGAAGCGTTTGGACCCCTTTTTTGCCAACGAGTTAAATTAACCCAAATGATCCTCCTCGAAAGACACGGTGGGCTGCTTAGGTCAGCTACACCCAGGAACATGGAGTCCAACAACCAGATTTTCAGTTGGCCTTTGTTTTATTTATATTAAATGGTAAAAATTTCATTCAAACGACACGGGCATTTGGCAAATCTGACAAAATGCATGCCGTTGAAGTGCGAATCTAAAAGAGCATACGCTGAATTTAAAACTGAGTTTCTGTGGGTTTCTGTACACTTCCTCTGAATTCTGTGCCTCGCGTCGAATTCCAGTGTCGCCTCTGTGCAATGTACCGCGCCGTCTCACTCGCTTGTCATTCAGTGTCACAGAAAAGAATGGCTTCGGAATAAAACTAATGATAGGAGAAGAGCCGTTACCCCATTCGGCTCTGGTTAACTATCTCCACAGGGTGTGAAGATGTTAATTTTTCAGTGGCAGTTCAGGTTGCTGCAGCTGATAATTTAAAGCTCTGCATACATTCTTTAAAATGTCTCTTTACATTTGATGAGAAATATGAAAACAAGGGGGCGAGGGCTGGAGCCGAGGTTTCGACAAGCGGACATGTCTTCACCGAGGTTGAAAAGGAAAAAAAGAGAAGTCCCCTTGTCGAAACATCGGCTACTGCACACACCACCTAGTTTTCGAATTTGTTATCGCGACCTTCCGTCTTCCGTTTCTTGCAGTTGTTTTGTTTATATTTTAGCATGACAATCTCGCAATATGTTTGGCTTTTACTTTGGTGAGATTAAATGACTGACAAAAAAAACACCAACACATTCGGAAGGAACAAACAGCACACCACGGACACGGGTTTTCAACTCTTTGTTTATAAGCAGGGGGCAGTGTGAGCCCGTGGTGTATAACGGACTCCTACCGCATGCCCTCACTTTTTCTTCGCTTGCGCAGATTTAACCCCAATGAAAGTATGAATTGAACGTGATTTTCACTGACAAATCTTTACTATAAAGCCACTTAACCTTTGCACTTACCGAGTTAGCCTGAGGCTTACAGTGGGAGGGCCATGAATACCTCGGAAACCTTTTGCAGGTTGAATCGGCCACATCGATGGTAATCACCACTTCATTATGCTTTCCTCTCTGAAAGCAAAACGAGACGAGAAGAATTGATTCACGCTCAGAAATACCGGTAATATTGATTATTCGGGAAATGCAGCTCCAGAGATCTCGATGTATGTATGTATGTATGTATGTATGTATGTATGTATGTATGTATGTATGTATGTATGTATGTATGTATGTATGTATGTATGTATGTATGTATGTATGTATGTATGTATGTATGTATGTATGTATGTATGTATGTATGTATGTAGCCCCGCCGCGGTGGTCTAGTGGCTAAGGTACTTGGCTGCTGACCCACAAATCGCGGGTTCAAATCCCTGCATCGGCGGCTGCATTTTCGATGGGGGCGGAAATGTAGGCCCATGTGCTCAGATTTGGGTGCACGTTAAAGAACCCCAGGTGGTCGAAATTTCCGGAGCCCTCCACTACGGCGTCTCTCATAATCATATGGTGGTTTCGGGACGTTAAACCCCACATATCAATCAATGTATGTATGTATGTATGTATGTATGTATGTATGTATGTATGTATGTATGTATGTATGTATGTATGTATGTATGTATGTATGTATGTATGTATGTATGTATGTATGTATGTATGTATGTAGTCGTCCGCCGCGATGGTAAAATGGATAACACATTCGTCTCGTGACACCAATGTCACGGATTCGATCGAGCCCCCACCGCTTGCCTTTCGATAGAGGCAAAATGAGAGAAGACCTTCTACTCGGCAATGTTATTGCACGTGAAAGAATGTATGGTCGGAATTTCTGGAGCCCTCCAGAGTAATGTGGCCTATTATGTCGTGGTTTTGGCCCGTGAAACTGCACAAATGTACTCTTGTGTGTGTGTGTGTGTGTGTGTGTGTGTGTGTGTGTGTGTGTGTGTGCGTGCGTGCGTGCGTGTGTGTGCGTGCGTGCGTGCGTGCGTGTGTGGTGTGTGTGTGTGTGTGTGTGTGTGTGTGTGTGTGTGGTGTGTGTGTGTGTGTGTGTGTGTGTGTGTGTGTGTGTGTGTGTGTGTGTGTGTGTGTGTGTGTGTGTGTTGTGTGTGTGTGTGTGATGTCTATGTAGCTCAATTCAACGCGGGAAAAGTGAAAAAGAACGCGTTTTTCACTTTCCCTGTGTACTTGTTTGTATGAGCGCCGTTAAACCTTTGAAAAAATAGATATCAACCGAAAATGCTCCGCTTGACGCTCTTTTGCTTTGACTAAGAACACATTGAAATTCTTTGCCCTCTTCGGAATATCGGCCCTTTATCTCGGCCGTACAACGTACTCATTGAACTTTGTTCCTTGCTACCGGTACCCCGCTACGCTAGTACAGGTGCGTGGTCCACCTATTTGTCACAAATTGCGAGTACGTAGCTTAAGTCTTGTTCATAGCTCACCTGCGCAAAATTATTTGTAAGAAAGTATAAGTGCTCCGTAACGTCTAGTTCAGTTCACTCACCGGCCATACGACCTCCCTCAGACCCAGCAGGTAGAAGGCTGGTCGTCGATATCGAGACTTCAAGCGGGCCAAGTGTACCGCTAAATGCATGTATTGGTGGTAAGCTGACTCATGTACCTTGAACGGCTCATTGGTCGCAAAATACGTGTCGCTGAGACCGATGCCGACAACTGCGGTCACCAGCACAATTGAAGGAAACCGTAGGAACATTGTCGACTTCCGTGAGTTCAAGTGCCCTGTTGGTGCGTGAACACCAGCTGCAGAAGGACGCGTTAGGCGGCGAGTCAGGGGACGGTAGTACATCGACGCTACGGTGGACAGTGTGTATCACTGGCAAGCGTCATAGTTAGGCAGAAGCTTGAGAAAGAGATGGCGCTAGGTTCGTAACTCTGTCACGTCGAACTACATTTGAGTCATCACAGGTCACCCTATCAACGAGGGTAAGTAAAGCGGGCATGCCAGAGCCAATAAAGAGGGTGAAGTCTATTCGAAAAGGGCAATGTCTTATACGTCGTGAATGCCTTGTATAGAGTCCTGTGCATATCGGCGCAACGTGCGAATGGAAGTTGGTATCAGGCTGATGACGCTTTTTCCCTGTCGTTTCGCAAGTGGGAGCTGTAGAAATATTGGCATATATGTACGCTTGACAAACAAAAGGTGACCCTAGAGTGTGGCAAGCTTCGGGGTCATGCATCACTTCTATTCGGCTGTAATGAGATATGAGCAGTATATACGTGTATTACTTGAGACCGAGCCTGAGAAACACTCTTTCAAGCTTTCGTTTCGAATCGCTTGCTTGGAGATGCTCTTTCGTGCCGGTTTCTCTTTATGACGCGTCTAACGTCTCTCTTGTAGGCATTCTCTTGAATGTGGGCCATCGTAATTTCTGAAGAAGGCAATTCAAAAGTCACCCGACGTGTCTTGGCTCACGAGAGAGCGTATGAACATTAAGCTCAACACTGGAGTATAGGGCTGTGCATCTGTTGCCGCGTTGTGTTACGACGCATTAAATAGGAGATTTGACTCGGGGACCTCGACCGCATGCTTTGAATTCCGTATTTCGTTCTCTGAATGAGGTAATAGAAAACAAGTGCGTCGAAGAAACGTGAGCAGGGTCGTTTTAGAGCGATATCTTCAAAGTTAATAGACGCATTCAGTTTTAACGTTCCCCAGTTGGTACCACAGCGGCTTTTACGTATCAATCGCGGAATGCCCATTCAGGTTGCACTTATCGAACCCTTTTCATATACGCCAATATTCATGCTACCTCCATCGTGATATTGTGTGTTCAGTATCGCAGCTTACAATTTTTCGATTTGCTGATGCCACTGTGCTTACGTTCACCACGGCACTGAAAGACCACTACATCTAATGAATTATTGCATTAACACCTTTCAATAATCCTCTCAATAAATTTTTAAAGCGAAAGTCTTAGATCCCACATGAAACGTGAGAAGAAGCGGTCGATGTTGGCAGCGCCAACGAGAGTAATGCGAAAATTCCTCACTGTGCGATGACGTCAGCATATGCCGCCAGAAGCCTCCAAAATTGGCAATTTCATCATGACGCTGCAACGGCGTCATACAACGTGGCGTCCTATGTTGACGTCATCATATGGCACAGGTGCTTGGTCAAATGTGAGCAGATCTCGCAGGTAGCGCAAAACCACGGGAGGTTCACGAAGCTGACAGTGCTTCAGATCCCGGCGGTCTTGCCACAGAACGTTAGGCTTACAAATCTGTGTGTGTTTGGCAGGGGATTGAATGGGTGGGCGGGGGGGAATCAACACAATCGTTTGAGAAGAAAATACTTTTGCCTTTGAATCGTCTTTATCAAATACATGGCGGATGTTGTGACATTTTTTCCCCACAATGTGCCAAACTTCCACTTCACATCTGTTAATATAAATTGTTTGCAAGTATTTAACGAAACAACAAAAATTGAAGAGTTTAACTCTATAAAACTACATCACTAGGAACCACTGGAAACAACGAAAGTAATGTGGTGCCATCTGAAAGTAGCTTATACTCGAGGTCATAAAACAAAGGTAAAACTACAACTCAGTTTGTTTCTCGTCGTTTAAATCTAGAGCGATATATACAAGAATAAATCATTGAGTATCACTAAGAATTCATTTATTGAATGACTAACTTCACTTGCATCGTTCGCTTTATCAAGCCCTTAGCACTAGTGGATCGAAAATAGGAACGTTTTTCGGCAACTGATTTCTTCACGCGCCAATTATTTCAGAAAACTGAGTGAAACTATTTGTTGTAAAACAACAATTGATCTGAGCTGCTTCCCGGCTAGAATGACCACTTCCATGTAGGGTCAGATGTAAGCATAAAATTTATTTAGATTACTATCTGTAAAGCTGTAAAAACACATACGATAAAAAAATACTCGCCTCTCCCCAATTCACTTCATAAAATAGTTTATTCTTCCCTCAATACGCTGCCGTATAAGATTATTTCAATTAACGAAGTCGTTCATAATGGTGGTCTACATCAAGTGGACTATCCTAATATCTTGCAATTTTCTCGTTACGTTTAGGTGTCGTTTATCAAGTGTCGAAGTATAGGTTTTTGCAATCCATGCGTAGGCGGACAAAGCGCAACCTTACCTTGACACTTGGCTGTTGCGTCGTCGCTTCCGTATGTACGCCATAAATAAACACAGCTTCATTTTACCTTGGTCGGGATGAAACGATACAGTCTCTGGCCGACATATGCTTCTTGGCTCTCTGCGTGCTAAGACACAGCTGTGCAATAGGAGAACTTAGAATGAGGGCCTAGAATGAAGCGTCTACAACGCACGCGGACACAAAAAGAAAGGCGTAGCTGAATGAGCCACTTGTGAAAGGCACTTACTGGTCACACTCAGCCTTGCGTGCGTCTGCTTAATGCAATTTCGCGTTGCTGCGACTTCTCAGCGTTCCTCTGAAAAAATTGGGAGCGTTTTCCCTCAGCGGAAAATAGGGGCCACCTAAGCCTGCGTTTTCTAGCTACTAGTAATACTTAACATCGAAGCTGCTCTAGCTTGCCGTCAAGTTTACTGACACAACGTTATCATCATCATGAACGGCGTGAACTCTATTTGTTCATTTCTTCCTTATACGCTTCACTTGCACAACACGTGGTTCCCATACGTCCTGCGTATAGCAAGGATAAAGGACAAAGGGAAAGAGAGTAGTTAGTGTGAGCAATAATATAGTAAAAAAATATAGATCAATCGCGACAGAGGGCGAGAGAGAAAGATATGAAAAAGATAGCTTTGGCAAAGAAAATTACTAATGAAGTGGCGGGACTTGAAACGCGTACCTACGCTCTCAGGGCCAGCATTTTAACCAACGATTCGGGCACGCTGACAAAGCAGAGAGTGCCCCTAAATAGTATCAGAATTTGTAGAGCTGTTGTAGTATATATAGCAAGGTGGTAGTAAAAGGAATTGAGGGCAAAGAGAAGAGATATAAGGGTGACGGTGAGCGTAAGGAAGAGGGAGGAGAGTAAAGCATATCATATAAATAATGAAAAACGGAGAAATACACCGAAAAAAATGGTCAAAGAGAAGACAGAGAGTGAGATAAAGAGAGGCAAGAGAAAGAAAGAAATAGAAAAAATGACGAACAGAGCAAAAGACAGGGAGATAAAAAGAGAAAACTTAAGAGTGACAAAGAAGGTTGCCCACCTCTGTAGAGAAAATGTATAGAGACATGTAGAGACATAGGAGGTCCAGCGAGCGGCAATGGACCCACGCTTCGCTTTGCAATGCTTCGTTTACCTCGAACTTTGCCAGTTTTGTTTTGTTTGTTTATTTGTTTATATATTCAATATTTCATAATGCCCCCTTCTAATATTTTACTTTGTCCATGCCAAGCATAGGGCATTCATTCATATGCTTAGGAGCGCAACTCTTCAATTGCTATGGGCAACACTACTGCTACAATAATATTTTGAGGGTCAACCAGCTTCCTTCTTTTAGCGTTATAAAACGCATGATGCACACCGCGCAAACTAGCTTCGGGGTAGTGGTACAACGCTTTCAGTCCGAGTATTCAACGCTATTGTTGTCATTAGGTGAATATACTAGTATATGCAACTGTTCCTACGCACTTTTTCGATTTGCAAAACTATGACTATAGTTACCCGGTGGCGCAATGGCTCTCAACTTGCTCAGGTTCGTAACTGGGTCGTCTTCGACGCCTCCGTGCGTCAGTCCTCACGCCTCGCCGTGAACCCGACCTTGAGCATCGTATGCACTCTGACCTTGTAGAATATCTTCATTCACGGCTCGACTTTTTGTCTGAATTTAATGTAATCGAGTAAACGCTTGATACGATATTTTAGCGTGCCTAATGGTAAACTATCAAAATGAAAAGAACGAGAGAGTGAAGAATCGATTTATTGATATGTGGGGTTTAATGCCCCAAAACCATCAGATGATTACGAGAGACGCCGTAGTGGAGGGTTCCGGAAATTTCGACCACCTGGGGTTCTTTAAAGTGCACCCAAATCTGAGCAGCCGGCGCAGCCGGAATTCGATCCCGCGACCTGCGGGTCAGCAATCGAGTACCGTAGCCACTAGACTACCACGGCAGGGTAGAGTGAATAATCGATGAGATAGATGACAAACAGTAAAACATAAAGACGTGAGCATTTGTGTACCTGCCTGTGCTCATGTGCTGTGCACGTGTGTGCGTCTGTGTGTGCATGTGTGTGTGCATGCGCGCACGTTTGTGCATTTACGCACCTTGAGCAGCGAGATCATGTGTGTGGCTTCGATCTGCTATTGCGCAAACACATCCTCCTGTAACGTAGGCGCCTCGAGCCTACAAAAAACACACCGAGCTCATTCAAGCAATATAGCACCCAAGAAGGCACCTTCTGTTTGCAAGCGACGCGAATGTCCTCAGGGAAAATATATACCTTGCATCCGAGCCGTAAAGTGAGGAACCTGCAAAAGACAAATAATAGCCACAGCTAAGACATATACGAAGGTCACAAAAGACGCTGGCACTGCTCGGAGATACGGATCGGAGATGGCGCAACAGCGACGAAGGAAAAAGTGCGAAGGAAAGAAGCATTCGAAGGCACCGCTCCTTAGCATAGGACCAACAAAACAACAAAAATTGTACTATATATAACATCGATAAAATGATAAAATCAAACTCTCGTATGCTTTGGTCGCAACTCAGACCCTTGACTCCTTTTTTCACAACTCGCTCAACCGCTGTTCTTGATATTCGTCGTTCTTCTGTTTTGTCGATAAGTGCTTCGTCTGTTCGGATTCAATGCTAAAATATCGAGCCTCAAACAATTTTCGAGAAGCAGAAGCCACGACTGACTCAGCGATTTCAACTGAAGAAGGAAATTCTGTGCAGAAATGGTTTACATAGAAAATAAGATGCATACTTTTGTGTTTGTGCGCTTGAACGATAGTTGCCGTGAAATACGCTGATGAATGTGAAACTTCAACAGCAGGCTCCGTGTGTTTGCTGATTCTCTAATTTTAAAGACGATAGTCTTTCTTGGGGACCTTCGACGAAAAAAGTTTGGTCTGTCTGTCTGTCTGTCTATTTGTCTGTCTGTACATCTGTCTGTTTGTCTGCCCTAACGATATCTCAAACGGCATGAAACGGCCAACCCCATTCGCAGCGCCCACCAATATTGCTCAAGGTGTAGCGTTCATAGTTGTGCAATTTTCAATTAAAAAGCAATTATTGCGCATATATGGGGCGCCACAACAACTCTTCGGTGTTTTCTATGTCTCCCTTTATACTAGAAGAGGCACACACAAGTAACTCTAAGGAATGTAGCGTTTAATCGCGCTGCGCTGATAGTGCAACGCGATGCTCAAAAGGTGTTTTCAACGCTTTTCTACGACGTCACGGTGGTGGCACCTGCCCGTCACTTTGCGTTCTACACCTTACCACCTCCGAGACTGGTGTGCATCTTTTTCCGCGGGCTGCACGCCTTCGTTTTTGAAGATAACTGCCAGATGGCACTTGAGTCTAACGTGCCTAGATGCGCTCGTTTGCCTCCGCTACACGCTCTAGGCCCTCGAACACAGCGCCTGCAGAATACCATTCACCGATTTTCTTGCGCAGAGCATCAAATAAACGGTTAGTTCACTCTCTCTAGACGCAAGACTATCGTCTTTCAACGACATTTACAGTGTAACACGTTGATTCGGGTCAATGTTAATTTTTCTTAGAATGTGTGGAGTTTTGCTAGAGACAATAGTGAACAAAAGTACAGGAGTGCTGCGGTGGCGCAGAAGTGATGTTAGGTCAAAATGTGTACAGAGTGATCAAAAGTACAGTGTTGTGACCGAGAAAGACATTCATTTAAATTACTAACGAGAACAGCCAACCAACGAAAAAATGCGGTTTCACGTGCAATAAAAATAAGACACTGCAAAGAACTGCTTACAGCTTCTAAATTAAATGTAAAAGATTTTTCAATAAAACAAAAAGAATGCCAGACCTGCAATGAAAGTGCTGCATTGTCACAGAGAAAGCTGAAAGAGCGGTAGTTCTAGAACTCATTGTAAACTCTGTTAAGGCTGCTAAGAAAGGGTAAGCTTGCAAGGTATCATACATTTTGTGAAGTTGGGAACACTAACTACGCCATCGTCCGTCGCTGGGAACCCTGCTCTTGGAATCCCTCCACGCGAAGAAATTTCTAGAGAAGGGAGAGAGGGAGCGAGCGTATACGCTAGCAGACGCTGTCTGCATCGGCGTTGCGAGGCGAGAGAGGGAGAGGGAGCTCACATGCGCAGTAATGGTTGTTACGCCGCACACTGGAGTCAACTCGACCATAAGGTGATCTGCATCTAAGAAATGCCCAGTCAAAGTGATAATGTGCTTCCCATACAGATCTGCTGGAAAGCGTAGTATTGTCAAAATTTACCTTATCTTAGATGTTTCTTTCGTATCGGGACACAACAAGGCACCCGCGGGGAAATGCATGTCACGTCGCCATTGGACACACTGCTTAAGTGGGCTATATGCGAAAAAAATTAGGGACCCGAAAGCTTAGCCTTTAAGAGTTGAATGCAATAGCGATATCCTGTTCCTAGTGCATACTTCAATCACTTAGTGCATGAAACTTTTTGGTACTTGCTATACGCCCACTACGCGGCCCTAAGTAAATAAGCGCAGTAGAGTGTGTATCCACTGTAGTGGGTGACCGGCTTTATATCACGAAGTCATTTAGATAAATTACATGTTCTGACACCCACTGGCAATGGCCGTTTGTACCACGCATTATTAAGGCCATATTTCATGTTGTATTGTGAAGCAACTCTACAGGGTACGTGTGTTTGTAAAGCATGAAAGTTAATTTCACTGCATTTCCGAGCAGACAAACCTATTTTCTGTGTATTACCAAGTAGACGCTTCGCCGTGTGATAGAACACCCACTGACAACGCAAAAGACCCGGATTCGATCCCCACTCAGACCCACAATTTTTCATCATTTATCTTGTTTGCAGGTTCTCCATTTTTCGGTCACGCGTGAGATGATGATTTTTCGCTCACCACCAACGACATTGAGGCCGACGACAGAATTTCTGCGAAAAATTCTCTTCAACGCTATCACGTTAAAAGATAGTTTTATTTGCGCGCTGCCGTGCCAGTTAACATGCAGTTACAGATGCATTATACCTTGTCAGCTTGCTCATACAGCTTCTGATGCCGGTCGTACTCTCACCTTCTGTGCCTGATCTCGCAATTTGTGCCTGTGTGAATA